CCCGAAAAGTTCTGCCCACCTAAAACGACTTAGCCGAGCTTGAACGAGCTTTGAGGTTCCTTCGCGGAGAGACGCGTGTCTCTCGATGCACCCATCGCGTGCAGGTGCAAATTGAAGGATGCAATTCCAAGATTACGTCCACATCATGTATACCTTGTGGCATCTATCGGGTGGCCATAATGAGACTCATTATATTTATGGTCAAATTTCAGGATATACGACGAACCGTATGGGTTATTGGTAGAGACTGCCAGCTTGGGTAATACGGATATGACGTAGCCGTAATAAACGGCGTATAGGTCGAGACACGTGGCATTTCCAGCAGGTGCAACAAATGCATCTCGGAATGATTATCTCGTAAACGTTAGATACCCGCTTTGTACGCGGCTGCATATTCATCTTGCTGTGCTGTAAGAATCGACTGTACAAAGACGTCGCAGTGCTCGATACTGTTACATGCGAATTGATAGTCACGGGACGCCGTGTCGCTTGATTAGTTTATTACTTTATTAGACGCCGGTTAGCTTGATTGATAGACGCCGGACCGTGTCAATTATTCTCGATCCGATTGGCAATTCCAATTATTCTTGTAATTTACAGGGCGACTACAGAAATAACTAGGGCGCTTGGAACGTACATTTGTCGATACGGTAACTGAGGTAAAATCGAATATTTACCTCAAAGGGACAAATAATTTTGGCGTTTGGTGACGTTGCCGTCCGACGGCCTGATGGTATTAGTGAAAAAAAAAAAAAAAAAAAAAAAATAAAAAGCTAAAATCCTATGAATGCACCATCCGACGGCACGAGGAAAATCGAGGATTTGACTTTTATTTTTCAAAATCTCAGACCCGGGGATTGCAATTTTGAAAAAATTGAATGTGGCTGTAAACAAGAGATACGTAGAAAAGTAGGTAAGACTTTTTTCTTTAATTACCAACCCCGTATATTATTCACGCAGGCCACTTGTCATCCTTGCTGCAAAGTGTTAATTCGTTGATAGATGACAAATGCAATGAGACTAGAAATTCATGAATTAGTAGACTATTGAGAGCGAGCTCTTAGGAAATATCATTTTAAATTCACTCCCAACGGTATACTAATGAATGAATTTGTATTCCATGACCGTTTCCGTATATCTGTATTATGTGCCCTGTATACCTGTAGCTAATAATTTCTTTCTTCTTACAGAATATTATATTTGTTCCTCCTTCGCTCTCTCTCTCTCTCTCTCTCCCTCTCCCATTCACAGCCGAGAGTACCTCAATGTCGTTAAATTTTATTTCACCCTTTTTAATAATCATACAAATTTCTCTTAGAGGTATTTTTATACCTCGCTTTATCCCACCGTACATAAGCCCCGTGAAAAGTATCCGACTAGATAAATTCGACATTTCACGTCAATTTGTATTCTCCTATGCGATACGGGGGGCACGGAAAGGCCTAATCTTAAAAAAAAAGGCAGTCTGCATTTCAATCGTATACAGCCATCTACGAGCCGTGCCAATATCAGAATTTCATTTTCCAGCAATAACACACCGAATTTCCATATTCCTCGTAATTCCGCCTCTAGCAGATTGTAAGGCAGCGCAACGATCAAACGTACCTTCGCCTCTTCTTCGTTTGCCCAATGAGAGCGAGCAAGACGGCAGATGTGTATCCACGTTAGAGAGAGTGCAAAGCGTAGAATCCGCTCGCGTAAACGGAACACATCCGTTACTCACGGTTAGTGTGTCGGAGCAGCATTGAATCGACGGTTTCCTTTTATGTGAAACCGCGTGTTTCCTTGGTAAATTCTATGCATGGCGAGGTACGTCAGATGCAAGAGTCTTGTACTCCCCTGATCACAGTCGCATGCACAGTCGCTGCTCGTATCTATTTACATAGTGAAAATTCTGGAAAAAAAAAAACTACTCAAAAAAAATAATAAAAATTGTTTCAGTTTCACGGTCATTCTTCTTCGTCGAGAACGACAAGGAACGAGGGACGTTTTTATAATGGTATTTAGATAATTTCGTAATATACGCGAAACCAGTAGCATTCTGTGTATGCAGATTCGCGTATACTTGTATCTTTTATTTCAACCCTAATTAGCGCCTCCCTCCAGAAATCTATATGATAGCGCGGACTCCCACAGACTCCATCCTATTTACATTTGAATAATGTAATTTTACAGAGACCGATTCCACCCTGCTTTTGTTCTACGAAACGATAGACGCAAAAGGAACTTGCTTAATGCGAGAGCCCAGCAAACACAAAGAGTAACCGTTACGTATCAGAATAACAGAATTTCATACTGGGTAATACAATGGTTGTAAAACACGTCGTATCGTTACTTGAGAAAAAAAGAGAAATATATTCAGCGAATGAAATAGTCGCTACGAAATAAAAGTAACGAACGTCCGCCAAAGAATGGACGTGGTACGACTTAATCGCGTTATTTAAAAGATATTAATAACGAAAAAAAAAAAAAAAACTTGAGCATTTACCACTTTTACAATTAATTGTAAATACTTGATTAGAAACTTGATTCGTGTTCGGTGGAATGTCCATTGAGAGAAGATCTTTATTTTCATGGTTGGACTGCATCACATTAAATTTCGAAAATAGGTCATGCTCCATCTGTCAAAATTGAAGTCTGACGTTATGGCCAAATCACATGTGTCATATCAATGTATTATAATGTTATGTAACAGTACGGTAAAATACTCACACGTTATATCGGGACGTATTCATACATTTGTATTGTAAAGTTCAAACGCCATGCGCGCGTATTGAAAAATAAAAATTTCATGGCAAATCACGTGTGAGCTGCTAGGGATAGCTAGGTATATTGATTCGAATCTGTAAAAAAAAAAATGCATTTTTATATCGTCCACGCTATATTAGCGGCTAGAGTATTTTTTTGTACCTAATCAAAGTACGTAACTATTACTTTTTGCTCGCTGGGTATATAGCGTTAAGGCTCAGGTGATTAGTCTCGGTCCTTGCGATTCCTTGGCGCTCGCTTGGGTATGATAAACCGTGAACGTATCGTTGAACGTATGACAAGCCACTTTTACAGTTCATTAGACACACCAGCGGGCTCCGCAAGTTCATGCAAAACTTCATCCCAGGCGTAATGTACTTTTAATTGAAACCTAATAGAGCTTTTAAGTTTTACCACGCATCCCGTTTCGTGTTATCGATTTTCGCACCCACGCTCAAGCGTAGATATATACACACGCACAGACGCCACCCGGACGCAATCTACCTCCGTCTCTCTTTCTCTCTCAAATTTTGTCCTCCGACAGTAATTTGTTTCACGGTGTGCCGGTGGTATTAAACCGAAATAACTTACGGAAAAACTTCGAGAGCTTCGCGGATTATGGTTGGCACAGTAACCAGAAAATTTATAACCCTCGCGGAAGATTATGCGTTTTAAATTAATCGACGTGTAACGGTTATTCAAAAGGTAACTCTTTCCAGCCTATAAAACTTAAAGCTTCGTTGTCAGTATGCTTCGATATTTGTGAGGGCGATAGTTAACTGTCCTCAAATTATCAATGATAAATGATGAGTGATCTTTTTTTTAAGAGATGGATAAAAAGTGAAAATTAATATGTATACAGATATATATACATATGCGTGTATCCACGCATGGGTCGGAGTAAGGGTCAGGCAAATAGTGCACGAGAGAAAGAGCAACGAATCGAGAACGTAATAGCACGAATCTGAACTAACAAATTGAAATCCCTTCACCAATTAATAAATTGGGAGTCCTCACCGGAGCTGGTCCAGCTGATCCTTGAAGGCCCAGAACCGCATCCATAGGACACTCGGGTGGGCACTGCACTAGGGCAAAGAACTGCACTTCCGGAACACTCTCAGAAAATTTATCGAATTTCCTGGATATCGCAAGAGCAACACGAGAACTTGGTATACCGTATCGAAACACGGCTGGAAAAACTGTCAGACAGCACAGAAGCGCGAGGGAGTTCGTGACACCTCGGTCGGTGCCCCGAGACAGACTGCCTTGACAATAGCCAAATTCGAGAACTAATCATTCTGATGATCTGATTGGTCGAGATCCTTATAGCCGATACGAATCAACCCGAGAGCGTAGCTTCTGAACAGGGTCGACAGGAATCGGAAATCAAGAACGTTATCTATATCGGTAGCCGGAGTCGCCTTGTGATCGTGACTCGAAAAATCACATCACAGTATGCACGGTTATTCAGGACTATTGCACCGCTTGGAAATGGTTTTCTCCATTTGATTTTTATTAATTCTTATGGTAGAACCATCTTCAGATGGTGCATTAATCCTGAATAACCGTGTATACACGTATATAGTGATACGACTTCTTTTGTCTATAGATAGCATTCGGTATTTCGAAGTAATGGCGTGGAAATTCATACAGATAATGGCCGCCGGTTGACGCGGGTAACTTTTTTTCTATTTCACATAAGCCATGGCGACGAAATCTCACACGTGCAAACCGAACACGCGCGCACTCGATATATAATTTTTATCTCACTATTTACAGACCGCTCTGCCGTACGCATGCTTTGTTTGCCAGATGACAATCACTCTCCAGGTCCAACAAGTATTACGAACGAACATGTCACTTGTTTACCTGCATGTTTATCCAGTAGCCAAAACAAATAATTTCAAACTTTTCAATGCACTTTGTTTATTTTTCATGAGTCTGCGTAATCGATTCTAAAGAGCTTTCACGAATAAAACGATCGCTCAACGTTTGCTAAAGTAACTGTTGCATAATCGACAAGAACGAAGAATCGCAAGACAGAAATTCTTCGGAGGGCGTCCCTTCTATCGTCTTCGATGCTGCGATACTTGACCTCGTTTCTGGGTGCTGTACGTATAGTACATACATACAAAACCACGTAAAGCAGGAAAAAGAAGAACGAAAAAGATGCAACGAGCCTCATTGTTGTTCATATTTCCACAAAAGCGAGCCATTAAGACGCCATGCAATAAATTTGACATTGTCCAACGATGGTATACGTGTCGCGTTATACACTGCGCATGAAAAGATAAATATAGTTTACCATCGAAAAATCTTTGCCCACCGCCCCACATAGTCCAAGTAAAACAGTGACGATGCCGTCTTATTTCCAAGGACAGTTATATCATAAAACAATACCGTGTGCGACAAGACCGAAAGTAAACTTCGTCGGGCGTCTACCGCCAATGCATCCGAGCCACTGTGTCTTCAACCGCCATATTTTCCGGAGCTTCCCGAGTCCACCCGATGATGGCCGACGGGTCTAACCGTCCCCGTAGGTAAGCGGCACGAATAACGAATTGAGCCACCGAGCATCGGTTGAGTAAGGAAAACAAGAAAAATATTAATTCTACGCTATCAAAGCATATCGCGTTATCTAATAAGTTTTAATGTAAGTATAACGATTATATCTCTAAGCATAAAATTCCAACATTATGCTGATATATCTATTATTACTTAAACCTTGCTGGAAATATATGCTAAATCCAATCTAATGTTCCCTTAAGCACCTACTCGTCCTCCAAGAATCTGAAAGCAACATTATCGACCACGGTCTTAATATTAATATCAAAATATCAATGCTCTCGGCAAGAAATTCTTGTTATGATTCGTGCAGGGTTTTCTACCCCCATACCTTCGACGATTTATCATATTTATTTATCTTTTCTTTGTTTGAGCCCTTCCAGTAACCTTCCTCGCCCATCGCCCCGCCGTTCTCGTTATAAATAGCACGTCGTTACAGGTTACTGGCTTCTATCCCGACGCACAGCTACAACCAGCCCCGCAACCCTCACAATTTTCAAGTAAACGATACGCCATGTATCCTGCGAAAATTTCACCCTCTACGTTATAAGTCTACGATTCCCTCACTCGGGCTCAAGTTTTCGTCAACCCTCTCTATACAATTTAACGAAAGTAATCTCAGGTCTTTGCCGATATTCACGAATGGAATTACACGACCCTGAGAATCTCCGCCGGAGAAAATCCTTCGTAGCAACATAAGTATTATATCCATATAGTAAATAATACCAAGATTCCAGCCTATAATCTGTACGTATAAACATCAAGATAAGATATTAAGTTTCTATATACCTGACATCTCAATCGATTTCCCCGTTGTGCCAGGACTCGAGGAAACGACGGTCATTAGTCTCGCGAATTGTAAAAATAATTCCAGACGTACAATAGCCGTAGGAAGAATTTGCTGCGGGCGTCGATGATAAATTAACCCGCACATCCTTCGCCGTTGATTAATGAGTCAAATGAGAATGCCGAATTTGAATGTCATGATAAAAAGAGAAAAAAAACTTGAGCTCACTTTAGCTTCTTCATTTACGTCGAGACAATAGCCTACTATAAACCGTACGTAGCACAGACGATTCGCGGACAGAGGTCGTAGCTGGGAAAGACATTCTTGTAACGGTTTTTATGTGAGAGGCGCGGGAAATTCAAAAGTTTCGAAGATCCCTCGAGGTATAAAGCTAGCTGTACTCGCATGCAGTTCGAACAGAAGGAAAGTTAGCTGCACGTAAAATCCTTAACGCGTACCAATCTCCACTGCCTCAAGCCGAGTTCACATGCCGTGCGTGTATAAAACGTAAAGCTTCGGCGTAGCCTCGACTGAACTCTTACGTAGATGGAGAGTAAAGGGGGGAGAAAAACGTGTGAAAAGGGAAAGAAGAGGCTCTTCCCGTGAGTAACCGTTGGATCGTAAAACTTTTACCTAAGTATCCTCTCCGAAGAAAAACGTCACGGGGTGTCGGGGAGAGGTTGGACCCAAGGGTGCTTACGGTTTGTTACTCTTTTCAACGACACGATGTAAACTTGTTGATGAGACAGAAAGCCAGCCTGTGTGCAGTCAGGCCGACGCGTGGGATATCGCAAGCACGCGATTCCCGGACTGTTCGACGCAAGCGCCAATGGAGACTTGTAGATGGATTGGAAAAGCGGCTTAAGGCGTTTCCGACGTAAGCGGTAAAAAGGTGATATTGCTGAAAGGCCTTCGGCAACCAGATAACTGTGTACCTTTGGAGCTACGTAAAAGTCAACACAGGAAATCTCTATACCTACTGTACCTGTGTAACAAGGATTGGAGGATCTCGTGGGCGAGATATTCGGGTAAGAACCGCTTTGCCCCGATTACAAAAAAAAAAAAAAAAAAAAATATCTGTCAACAATGAATCTCGCGTGGCTTCGGGTCGCTGCTGTAAAGCAAAGGCAGGATCATTGCGTGCCCGAAAAAGACGTCTACGTGTAATTCGCGATAAAAGGATGGCGAAAAGGAAAAAAAAAAAAAAAAAAAAAAAAAAAAAAAAAAAAAAAAAAAAAAGAAACTTGCCCGCTGATCTGAATAGGGGGGCGTGCTGTCGACAGTTTCAGGCTGAATTTCGCGCCTCGCTAAATAACGTAATTCGCCAAGTTCCGCGTGATTGACAGGTGGAACAACAGGAGTTTCGGATGGGATCGATTCGCGCGAAGAAATAATGCTCAAACTTTTCTCGCCCGGATAAAACGGACTTTCCTGGACCAAAGTGGTGGCACGAGAGAATGAATCGAAAAGAGAGAGAAGGGAGAGAAATGAAGGAAAAGTTTTCGCAGATCAGAGCAGCGGGCGGTTAATTATTGACAGGGGAGAAAACCCCAAAGAGCGATCTCGAATAAGAAAACTTGTTCAGAAATCATAAGTCAACGTTCATTGGTGAATTTTCGTGCCGTTCTCGCTTTTTTTTTTTTTCTTTTCTTTTCTAATTCGCCCGAGGCCAACAATTTTCTCACCCGAAAACGAACGAAAGTAATAAAACGTTTCTTTTCCCTGCTACACGAAGAATTTCCTGTACGCGAAGACTTTGAAATATTTTTCATTTTCTTTTTTTTTTACATACACTTCTTACCCTTAATTTCAATTCCGAAGGAATTTTCATGGTTGCCACCACCCATCCTCCCCTC